TGTCTTAATGTTAAGAACAGCAATGATCACCATCACCAAAACAAATCCCCCATGTATTTATTTCCTCTGCCAGGAACAGAACTTGTTTCCCTGAACACTGAAAGGCAGAAGAAGATGGGGATGTTTGGAGGGCATGCTGCTGGTGGTCTCCAATTCTGCTGGGACCCTAATCATGTGTGGAAAGCCCAGACACACAGCAGCAGAGCGCCGAACTCCTAGGAGGCAGCTCAAAGAATGTCATATTTCATATGATCAAAATACTGCCCCCTGAACACACAGAGATGGAGAAGGATCAATAAGTAGTTTCAGAGCTACTAGTCAATACTTAGTTCATTACACTTATCTGTGATTGTAACAAGTATGTTCGATAGTGTAAGACGTTTTATTGACCAGAAAACAATTTAAGAAATGCTCTGATTCCCTGATGAGATCATCCAGCCATTAATAATTCCTCCTGAGACTAGGTACCATCCTGGGCGGGGCTTACCTGACCTATGCTTGCACATAGGCTGGACCCTTCCCCTTGGCCATTAGTAAATGAAAGAAAAGCAGGTATGTTATCTTTAAGGGAATGATGGGCGAAGAAAGCTGGGTTTAGCACCTAGTCATTCAATTTTCACTAATCCACTTAAAAAATATAAGTTTGCTACTTGCAGAGAAGTTATTTGTAGGAACAATTCATTCAGGAAGCACTACAGATTAAGTATCCAAAATAGAACCAGAAATGGTTCCAATTTCAGATGATTGATTTGGTGCTAAACACTGGGGCTCGAACTCTTCACCTCCCATTGTCATTTGGCTTTTTTGCTCAAAACTGGTGATGCACCACTTGACCCATAGTTCCACTTTCAACCTTTTAATTATTAATTGGAGATAAGAGTCTCACTGACTTTCTGCCTGGGCTGGCTTTGAACCTTGATCCTCAGATCTTAGCCTTCTGAGTAACTAGGATTGCAAGCATGCAATGGAGTTTGACTTAGAAAAACAAATTGCAGTAGCTGCATACATAATGAAAAGCCTTTGGTGAGGACCCAAGTCTAAACAGAAAATTCATTTATGTTTCATACATACCATAAATATATAGGCTGAAAGTTTTTTTTTTATGCCAGTCCTGGGACTTGAACTCAGCGCCTGGGCACTACCTTTGAGCCTTTGTGCTCAAGGCCAGTGTTCTATTACGTGATCCATGGCTCTACTTCCAGAGATGAGTCTCATAGATTTTCCTTCCCATGCTGGCTTTGAACTGTGATTTCCCAGATCTCTGCCTCCTGAATAGTGTAGGATGACAGGCATGAGCCTAAAAGTAATTTTATACCAGTATTCCCCATAATGTGTGCAGAAAACAAAACATCATGGTTGCAATTTTGACTTATGGTTATCATAGTGCACTCCAAGTTTCAGATTTTGGATGGCCAAGTTTGACAAGTTAGGATTTATGTCCTGCTTTTCTCCTAATAGAGGAGCCATTTGACCCTGCCAGTTCTCAGGCCATTTATCTGTAAACTAGAGATTTACAGCATGCTATTTGTTGACTTGTTCTGGGAATTAAGTGAGCAAATACACACAAAGCATTTATGCATATGGCCTGGCACCCATCCAACTAGAGTTGAACAAATGCCAACTCATTTTTATAGTGAGACATGCTCTCTTCTGCCTTCTTCTCCAGGGTGGTCCAAGAAGGAGGGAAGAAGAGAGGTAGAGCCGGAGGAAAGACCCAGGGGGACCAAGGGAGGGGCAGGTGGTTAGAAATGGAAGAGATGACGGGAGTGGGGAGGTGGGAAGGGAGGCATTAAAAGTTTTGGCTAAAAGATGAGTTTTGCGTTAGCTTCTAAGCTCTGCATCTCAAGATTTTTCTCTCTGGAACTGGCAAACCTCTGTGTTCTGATAGGTTACAGAAGACAATGACTTTCCTTTTAACAAGTGTGGATGAAGGCCCTCTGTGGAGCTAACCTCCAGTCAGCGATATTCAAAGGGTGGTTTGAGAAACTGAGTCAGTGTTTAGAAGTTGCAGCAGAGTAGGATTTTTTTGGCTTTATGAAAATGGGTCTGTCTGTGGTGTTCAAGCTGATCTCACACTCCTGAGCTCAACAGATCCTCCTACTCCAGCCTTTCAAGCAGCTGGGACTGCAGGCATGTGCTACCATGCCCAGCTATTAAGTAGTTTTACATAGACAGAATATAACATTAAATAGGAGTAGTTTCATAACACTATTATGTAGCAATTTACTCTGCTAAATTGAGTTTCTCCTAATAACTCAGTTTTATAAAACTGTAATTTCATAATGGATTGGAATGTTTTTAAACTGTCCTTTTAGCATGAATAGTTGGAGAAAATAACCTAAACTTGTGCTGTGTATTGGAGAAAGTCATTAGAAAGCTAAGGATTAACACCTGAAAAAAACTTCTTAGTATCACCTGAGTTCCTAAGAGAGAGTTTACAGAGTCTAGAATCTATTGCTTATACCATTGAAGCTCTTATAAATCAAGGAAGTATTTCTTCCAGGCGGAAAAAGAAAACATCAAGGAAGGAGGAGCCATTTGTAAAATCCATTTTGTAAAACATCTTTGTCAGGTAGACATATGTATCCATATGACATGAACCCCAAGATCTATTAGGCAACAAAACAAAATCCCTAAAAACAAACAGAAAAACGGTACTCAGGATATGATGCGAGGTTTTAAATAACTATGATTATGTATAGAAAAACAATGACACTAACAATTGATCCCTGTGGGAGCTAAAGGCTTACCGGACACAATTACTGTTCCACGGTAGATATTTCCTGGTGTGTCTAAAATTTTTGCCATAAGTATAGGATATATTTTGTAATATAAAGGCAAAGTATATGTTGAACATTTTCCCTTTTCTCTTTTTATATGTTTAGTAAACCTGTCAATGTGGTGGTGATTTTCCTTCCATTACTGCATCTTCTTTTTTTTTGTATTGAGAGAAAAGTGTGTGTGTGTGTGAATCCTGAGGCTTGAACTCAGGGCCTGGGTGCTGTCCCTAAGTTTTTGTGCTCAAGGCTAGCATGCTACCACTTGAATTACAGCTCTACTCTGGCTTCTTCGGTAGTTAATTGGACTTTCCTGCCTGGGCTAGTTTTGAACCACAATCCTTAGATCTCAGCCTCTTGAGCAGCTACTGGTGTCCCACATACTTATTTTTCAGTTATACTTGCAATTCTGGGCATACCATTTCTTTGAACAAGGACAGGTTATTTCCATGTAAGACACATGTACAGAAATATTCACTTAAGTTTCCCCTATATTTCACTCTTCACCCACTGAACAGGATATTAAAAGATGGCAAATAAAAAGTTAATTTTTAATTAACCAGACTTGTTGCAAATAAACATTACCAAGATTAGGAAGCCTAAAAAGTCTCATGAGTCATTCTCCACAAAGCAATAAACTACCGTGTTTCATCTATTCTAAGACAACTATATTGTAAGACTTAGCATTGTTTTACTTATCACAAAGAAAACACTGCCAATTCAATGAAGACAGGCCATCAATCAAAAGATGAAAGCCATCTTTAGATGGACATATTAAAAAATGGTGCATCTTTGAATCAATAAAATATGGTAATATTATAAAAATTTGAAATCTTGTTCAACCTATTACTTGAAGTAAAGTCACCTAGCTTCATGTACACCCTCTACATAAACAGAAGAGTACGTAAACAGTTTCAGTAACACACCTTTAGTTTATTGACCTACGTAAAAAAATAATAGGTCTTAAAAAGTCAGAACAGTAAAAGAATATGCAAAAGAGTATTTGTTTCCAGGAGGCTATACAAATATGCAAAAAGGAATAAGTTATTTTTTCCCCTTGTGTTTTTTTTTCCTCCAAATTTTTCCCCCCAAAACCTCATTTCCAATGATACAAATGGCTAAGGACCAGTTTAACAAATCATTTTCATGGATATCTTACATGCTTTGGAATATAGATAGAAAATGTGCCAAAAAAAGTTGGTCAGAAACTTCTCTATTCACAATATGAACAAGAAACTTGTACAAAAGGGAAGGGAGGAGCACCTTTCATGGAATTATGAAGGAGAATGAAGATGACAGAGAACAATCTGGAAGAAGGAAATCTTTTGTTCTAAAAGCAAAACCTTACCATATGCTGTAGCTAATTATTCTTCCAAGAAAAGTATGAGGTAGGTTGGGCCTCATAATTTAATCTACTGTGGCTTGAAGTAATTTTTTTTAAATGCCAATTTGTTGTTGTTGTTTTGGTTACTTGGTCATTCAGAACTACAAGTGGAATCTATTGGGCTTAATTTCCTAGAGTTCACCATTGTAAGGCACAAAATTTATCTACAGTGAGGTGGCTTTGATTTTTGCTGCTGTTGTTTGGGGTCCTTTGAGGTCCTTTACCTCAAAAGACATTTTTAAACTCATTATTATAAAAGAAAAAACTTTCCATATCAAGCCTAGTGTGTGTGTGTGTGTGTGTGTGTGTGTGTGTGTGTGTGTGTGTGTGTGTGTGTGTGTGTGTGTGTGTGTGTGTGTGTGTGTGTGTCTTGAACTCGGGGCCTGGGCACACTGTCCTTAAGCTTTTTTCACTGAAGGCTGGTACTCTACCACTTGAGCCACAGGTCTGCTTCTGGCTTTTTTGATGGTTAACTGGAGTTCAGAGTCTCATCAACTTTCATGTTCGGTTTGGCTTCGAACCTCGATCTTTGGACATCTCAGCCTCCTGTGTAGCAGGCATTACAAGTGTGAGTCACAGTGCCTGACTAGCCGATTGCTTTAAATGGCAAGCAAGGTGGAGAATTACCAGCCTGAATAGTTGTTCATCATGCAAGCAACAGAGAAGGAAAACAGCTCAGTGACCTTGTACCTTAGAGAGATCTTGGAGCAGAGTTTGTCAATTAATTATTCAGTGGGCTGTTTCGTTTTCCCATTCAGTTACCATAAAGTTATATTACAGAATGCTACAGGACCAAGCCTTGTCTAGAACCCATCTTACACTGTTTATTTTTTTAAAAAAATCATCTTTGTCATATCCTAAAAACATTTACACTCATTCAGAACTTCATGAAAATCCAAACTTCTCTTCAAGTAATTTTCCAATACTGTCTAAATTGTCACATCTGTGCAGAAACATCACTGTGCTGTCCTTGGTCAGTTCAACAATTCAAACCTTGTTGGAGCTCAATATAGGAGCTTCTCACCTTCCTTCCTTCACCTCTCAGTTGTGCTCTGAACTCTCCCCTGTCTTCTTGTTCAGTGGGACCAATTCCCTGAACAAAATGTTCACAGTTTTGAAGTTTGCCTTCAGCCATATTGATTCCCTGGCAAAGTGTTTGCTCTGGAGAAAGGTTTTCTGCTGAGTCCTCTCTTGGCAATGGTTCTGTGTGGGGTCAGATCTTGATGGTAGGGTCAGATCTTGATGGTAGGTTGGGAAGGCAGTCCTCATTCAGGGCCAGTGTGGGACTTAGCGTGTGATTCACTTCTGGGGCCATGTGAGTCTCCTCTTCACACCTTGATACGTTCAGGGTTCTAAAGCCAACAGCCTTCTGGGAAGTCAAATCCCCTGTACAAGGCACACCGGGGTGGGAATGCAGTGTTTGGTCACAGGGGTCCCATTGCATTCAGACTAATGTTCCAGGCTTTGAGTCTTCGTGCCAGAAGAGCCTCTGCTCACTACTCTCCAGGCTGTCTTCCAACTGGTTTCCATCTGTACTGTCCAGTTGACTGGCCTCTGCATATTGTCTGGGAAAGGGAAACAGACAAGTTATTCCTTGTGGTCATTCTTTATTACTTCACTACAAAGACTACTACATTCAAAGAGGTTAGTAGAAAGCACTGTTAAGAACAATTTTCCAAGCCTTAAAGATGGGGCTAAATGACTGCATGCTCTTCCCTTGTCCCCCAACATTCAACGGGCCTAGAGAGCGACTTTAATTTTCTAGGGGAGTGGGGGCTGACTTTTTTGTTTAATTCAACATTTACCTCTGATAGGAGCCTACACTGTATTAAGTTACATGTTAACTTGGTTTTTTTTTCTGGTCTTGAAGAATAACCAAATGACTTCTGTGAAAAGATTATGCGTTATAGTATGACTATCCTATAAGATATTAACCAGTTTGGTACCTAATTTAGTATTCCAGCATTTTCTTTTTCCTTGTCTGGGATTCTCTTTTAAATCAATATAACCAAACTGCTAGCTCCTTATTAGTATATGCACTCCATATTTTGACACAGCCTTTTTAAATTTGAGAGCCTTGTAAAGAGATGTGTGAGGTTTTTTTTGTTTTGGTTTGTTTTGACCAGTTTGAGCCGCAGTGTCACTTTGGTTTTCAGACGGTTAGCTAAAGCGTCTCATGGACTTTCATGCCTGGGGTGGGCTTTGAATTATGATCCTCAGATCTCAGCCTCCTGAGTAGGTGGGATTACAGATGTGAGCCACTGGTGCCCAGCAAGATGTAGTCTTTTGACAGCATGCTAAGCATTCTTCAAAGGAAGGGAATACATATATACATACATGTTTTCCTTAGGGGGAAGGGGAAGGGTGTAAAGACAGCACAGGCACCTTGGGACCTATGTGGTATCCCAAGGGCTTTCAGGTAAAGTATACACAGGCTGTGGCATCACAGTTGAAAATAGCAGGCATATTTGGACTGTCTATTCAAATGAGCACAACCTGTTATACAAACCAATCTGATAAACCAAACTGCATTATATATATATATATATATATATATATATATATTATAACTATAGGTTAAAGAAGGTTAGATAGTTAGTAGATTTCTGTTTTAAACTTCAAAATCTTCTAGTAGAAGTGATTAAAAAGGTCTTTGGGAGAAGAGCTTAGGAAATAAATACTACATTACTCCAGGGTATTTAGCGTTTACATGGGACTCAAAAGCAAAGGCAGATTGCCTTACTTCACAATGCATGTCAGAGCAAGCAAACTCGTGCTATGCAAGAAGCGACACACGAATCTGATGACTGTACTTACTACAGCTGGCTACACTTAGCAAAAGAGAATTTAAAACTGATCTCATTTCGGGAGACACAACCATTCTCCTGGTCAGAAGCCCCGGGTTGTGCCTAATAGCCGGTAGAGTTAGAAGGGAAGAGGAAAGGGAAAGGGAAACAGGAAGTGAAAGAAAAAAGTTATCTGAAAATAGATGTAGCAGAGCCAAGAATCCCACTGTATGATGTAGCAACATAAGAGACTTCAGCATTTCTACTTTGGAAAAGTTCATTACAATAGAAAATTGACTAATGGCACTGGGAGGACAATTTGATACTGCTTCACATTTGTAGCTTCATTGAGATACTTTGGAAAAGAGGATTTCTCTATGACATATACATACTTTCGTTAATACAAATAAACTGACACGTAGCTAAGGATTTAACATCGTTAGCTCAAGGGCGAGGTTTTTAATTTGTATCCTAAAAATAATGATTATATAAATAAAATGGAAACAATTTTTGAGAGAATTTATCAAGATCTGTGACTAATTCTAGTTGATAATAAATTAAGTTGAAATGATCAGATTATATCATAATTAAATGAAATCAATGGACTGTACACCCTGTGGCTGGGACAAACCTAACTGAAAGCAAAAACTTAAAGCAGTATACTTTACAACTTCACCCACTGACTACCTTTAGAATGTATTCTAAGTAAATAATCTGGAATTCAGACAAATATTTGGCACAAAGATGTTCATAGTAGCATTACTGACAGCTTTAAAAAATGAAAAAAGAAGGAAAACCTGAACTCTATCAGGTGTTCACACCTGGGGGAGCTTTTATATGAAGTATGGTCTTTTTTGTTAATTATTCATATAAAGGAATGTCTAAAGAGTAAAAAACAAACCCTACAGAGCAATCTATTGATATGATACAAAATTTAAAAACAGGATGTAGATACTATATATAAGGTATAAAACTTGTATCTACAATATCATTATGACCATGTTAAAAATGCAACCAGACAGCAGGGCTCTGGTGGCTCACACCAGTAATCCTAGCTACTTAAGGAGGCCCAGATCTGAAGATTGAAACAAATATAAGAGATTATTATCTCCAACTAACTGGTCAAATGATGGATGAGGAGGTGTGGCTCAAGTGGTCAAGTGCCAACCTTGAGTATAAAAAGCCAAGTGAGAATGCAAAGCTCTGAGTTCAAGGCCCACTGCTAGTGTGTGTGTGTGTGTACATGCACACATGCACACACACACACACACACACACAAAAGGATACAGACAAATGGGAGAAATTTGAAGCATTAATAGTTGCTATCTCTGGAAGAATTATGGCTTCCCTGTTATTTTATGTATTTGTTATTTTCCAAATGTTCCACCATCAGACCATGAGCATGTGCACACACGTGTGCACACTAGCGATCTTTAAGGAACTTCTAATTTCCTGCACAAGTTCCCTCTGAAATAAGTCTATCAAGCTATCTTTAACTGTCTTAAGTACATAGGTAACCAGATTTTCTCTTAAAAAAAATGTTGAGCACTTCCTGAGTCTAATGAGAGCAGTGATAAAGACCAGAGGCATCTTATGGACTGAGGCTAGAAAAGGTAAAGGAAAACTGTACCCACATAAAGCTTGCAAATGCACTGCGTGAAGGGATTAAAACTACTCAAAAGATCCAGTGCAGATGTGGGGGCCAGTCATTTGGGCTCTTTTCTAATCTCATTTTCAAGCATTATTTACACAAGTCCAAACCATCTGACAATGTGAAGTGTATTTTCACTCCAAGTCTATTTTGAGAACACCCTTTGTGGAGTTGAGACAATTGGCTTAATATTTCCAGCCAAGAAAAACTCCCACTGAATGTGAGGAATGAAAACAAGGCTTTGGGGGAAATTGCAGACTTCAAATTTGCTTGTAACCCTGCAGGCTTTAAGGACAGCTAATCTAACTGCTAACCTTTTCAACTCACCAGCCTAGACACCTGTACCTTTGCAAGTCTCTTCTACTACCTGAAGCAGTGATCTGGTTCCAACAAGTCACAGTTAGATTGACCTAAAAGAATACAAGGGTGCTTTACTTCTTGGCACCATGGGTATGGATTGTATTTTGTAAGAAAGGGAGAATGACCTCATGGAACTTAATTCCACCTTTGCCTTAAGAAGAACTGTGTGTGTGTGGGGGGGTGTTGTAAGTTAAACATTGCCCTCTAACACATTATTCCTGTGCATTTCCTGTACAGTTTACAAAGAACTACTTATAAAGCCAAAAGGGACAGCTGGCTGAGTCTGTTGCTTCTTAGAGAACACAAGGTCAGACACAGAAGGTAGCACATGGCTGAAATGCAGCCTACCAACTGTCCCTGAGGAGCCTTGGAATGAACAGCCTTGCTAGAATAGACATTTTTTTTTCTACAAGGTTGCAAAAAAAAAAAAAGACTTAAATAGACATTATCAATAATACTGTTTCAAGTACTGTCTCAAAAAGATGAAAGGAAATACACACAGAAAAGCCCTTTGGAGCCAGAATTTAATGCAGACTCTGAAAACAGTGGAATCTGAATGCACTAGATGAAACTTTTTCTTTAAGGTCATTCTATTTTGGGCTTTGCTGGATTTATGGCTGTCTCTCACTGTTTAGCTTTGACTTCACAGCGTAGAAACAGCCTGAACTAACATGTAGATGAAGGAGTGTGGACATTTCCCAATGAAATTTATTTACCAAACCAGGAGGCAAATGAGTTTGGCCTGAAGATTGTAGTTTGTCAACCCCTGAGCTAGACCGTTTAACATTCGGAATGCAAGGTAGGGTTTCTGAATTTTTGCTTAGGATTTGAGCACTGCTTTCTCACCTGCTTGGAGAGGGTAAAGGATTATACATATTGCTGTAGCAGCCGGTGTAAGGAGAATGTGCTGGAGACTCATATTCAGACAGCCCTATAGTTAACTGTGTCCTCCAGTTCCCAGAAGCATTTGTAGAAGACACTAGAAATAAACATGGGAAGGAAAAACAAAATTAGTTGAAATACCCAGAGTGAAAACTGTTCAGGTCATTTAGATATGCATTATAATCAGCTGTGTGTAGAGTAACTACTGAAAAGTCCAGGCTTGATTTTCTTGTGCCGGGGACAGAATTTAGGCTTTGCCCACGCCCCCCTGCTTAGCACTGAGCTACATTCCCAGCCAAGCTGGTATTAGAATCCAGAGAGAGCTTAGTTCATCCAGTTTGGTAACTTAATGGCCCAGTGAGCTTGGGCAGATAAGTAGCCAAAGGCAACACTGGGACTGGAGCCCTGGCTCAAATGATAAAGCATCTGCCTAGCAAGCAGATAGCGAAGCCCCCACACCACCAAAACCAACTCACCAGCCAACAACAAAAACTCCAAAACTACCAAAGGCAACAGGGGTCCCTAGCAAGATTAAGGCTTTTTTTTCCCCTTTGTCTTAAAAACAAATGGGGGTGGGGCAGGGAGAAGCAACTCAGGAAGAAGAGACTTTGTTTTTCTGAAGGGCAGAACTGGAGCGGGGTTAGGGCAGAACTGAGGGTGCCCAAGTCTGGTGTTTGCTGTCCCCTGTAAAACCAGTCCTGCTCCATGCTTGGGACACACCGATGACAACAATGCCATAACAGTTGTCCAAGAGTCACAAAACCAGCTCTGTTGCCAATCCTTCCTTCTTTGCTCTAGCTCCTGTTTCTGGCCACCAAAGCCCCTGTGAGCACCAAAGGACACAGACTTCAAAACTCAGCTGTGGTCCCACGTGCATGTGTTGTTTTGTGAACAGATGGTGGACCCTGGCTGAGCTCCCAACAGCATGTCTGAGCGCTGACCGGAGGCTCTGAGGCTGGGTGGGTAGAGTCAGAGCTGGAGCAGAATACCCACTCAACCACTTTCTAGTTGGGGCAGGGTCATTTGACTTCTCTGGGCCAGAGACACTTGGGCTGCAAAATGAGGATGATAACATGTCTCAGGATGGCACTCACCCTATAGAACTGTGGCATACCTGAATTGGGAGAACATATTAAGTACAAAAGATATGATAAGAAGCACAGCCGGCTGCTGATCGCCAGTGGTTGTCACCACTGCTAAAACTGAGTCACCAGGAAAGCCCTCGGGTGACAGGGAGGGACGACAGAAACTTTTGGCTAAACTGACACATAACCGGAAATGCAACTCTCCAGGAGAATGAGGTGTGTCTGTTGTAGTACATTTCTGTGGCTGCTAAATGGAAGCAAGAATGAGGAACATTCCAGAGAGGATTTCTGGAGTACCAAGTCCATCCACCTAACTCCTGACAAAAAAGATGTGCTGCGTCTATGGAACTAAATCATGGTGGAGTCAACAGAGCTTTGGACAGGCCTAAACCAGAAGCATGAACTGCATCTTCACTTTTGGGGTGGGGGTGGGGGGTTGGACATAAGAGTCCCATGGACTTTTCTGCCCCGGCTGGCTTTGAACCATGATCCTCAGATCCCAGCCTCTTGAGTAGCTAGGATTACAGGCATGAGCCACCAGTACGGGGCTTCCATCTTTACTCTTGTCCCACACACTCAGTCAACAGCCAGTGATGCTAAAGACTGAGTTACACCTGCTTCTCCCAGGACATTTCCCCAGCCCCAGGCCCATGCCACAACCACTACCAACAAGCACCTCTGCCCTTCTGTTTGTTCTGCAAAGAAATGTTCAGACAATACCCTGAACTTTAAGAGGAAGAAAGGTGTTCTCTACATGAGCCATAAATAACAAGAAATAATGACAAGAGCCTTTTGTGTGTCAGATACGGGCATGGATGAGACAGGTTGAGAGGAAGTCCAAAGTCTTCCATAAACAGGAGAGAACTTGAACCCAAACAGAATCTCCATGGCAATAATGCTATCAACACACTTCTGAAACGTTCACAGGTACAGGTCATGACTCAGGAATTCCCACACTGTGTCTCACTAAGGTGTTAAGGGAGGAGGCAGGACTCACGAATTCAGGTTTCCGTGGGGTTTGACAATTTCTTAAGAGTTTGAAAGTTGGGCTGGGAATGCAGCTTAATGGTAGAGTGCTTGCTTAGTACGTATGTATGAAGCCCTGGGTTCGATTCCTCAGTACCACATACACAGGAAAAAGCTGGAAGTGGTGATTTGGCTCAAGTGGTAGCATACTAGCTTTGAGCAAAAGAAGTTCAGGGACAGTGCCCAGGCCCTGAGTTCAAGCCTCATGACTGGCCAAAAAAAGAAAAAGAAAAGAGAGTTTGAAACTTGCTGAGTTTTCATATATTCCTCTGGCTGCTGACAAGATGCTTCCAAGTACTGAGCACTCGGCTTCATGGGCAGCCTTGTTCAATTGCTGAATTCATGAAGACCTAAGAAGGCTCCTTCCCAGACCCCCATGTCTTAAGTACTTAAGATAGGTCTGGTACGCAGTGAGTCCTCTCCAGATGGCCAATCTCACCAGAAAGGTTATAAGAGAAAGTATCTTCTCTAATCAAAATTCCTTGTTGGTCTTGTGTGTATGTGTGTGGTTATGGAGAGCAAACCTAAGGCTTCAAGCGTGCTAAGCAAGTGTGTGCCACTGAACTAATTCTCCACTATCCCAATTGCTTAAATCATTCACATATATAGATCAATAGATATGTGTATATGTATGTGTGTATATGTATGTGCGTATAATTAAGATTTGCAAAGTGCTTAGGAAAATACTTAATGTCAATGCCTATCAGACTTACTAAAGCTTGATTTAGATACCTCAGTAGTCAAAACAATGCTTGATCAAATCTTGTCCATCAATGGGAATACTGTATATAATTCTATTTTTTTCCCTGCTTGCCTGTTGGATTTCCTTTATTCTTTCAAAAATGCCACAGCTCAGTGACCTAAATACATTTTAAGAGAGATGTGGTTACCAGCACAAGACCCAGCAGCCCCCCAATTTGTGAAAAGCCCTAACAGGACAGCAGAAATAAGACTAGTTGTTCCACAAATCCACGATTGGCCTTGAATCTCCCACTTGCTCCATCAGGCACGTGCTTTAGAAGCCTGCAGAGACGTTTTCAGGTTGGCAGTTCTTACCGAGGTTCCAATGCATGGTTGGCACTGCTAATGAAAGGACCCAGGGAAGATCCAATGGGGGACGAGGGGGAGGAGGACGATGCACACTGACTGGCCCCAGGGTGTCATGTGCTTACCTGAAGAGTAAGAGGATGCTCGGCTGCTTGGAGAACAGGGCACCTGCAGCCCGGCAAACCCCAGGCATCTCTGTGAACCCCTGTCTGAGTCAAAGCTTGTCTGTGGGCTGTGCCCCTGATCCTTCTGCCCTGAGGCCCGCTGGTACCAGCCCCGCAGGTGCTCAGCGACTAAGGCCTTGTGGATGTTTTTGGTGATGTGCTCCGATTTCACGGCAGTCTTCCTCGGCAGCCGGAGAGTTGCATATGGGTTATGGGGCACGTGGTCTACCTCGTCTTCATGGAAAGATCTGCTGTAGTCCCTCTGCCGATCATATCCATAGTGGGCCACGGATCGGTAGGACGGGTTGACAGTGTACTGTCCCTCAGTGTCATTCTCATAGACATAGCCACCACTGTAATAAAGGTCACACTCTGCATAGGGCGCGTATCCAGAAATATAGTAACTAGAAGACGGTGGCTCCTGACTCTTAGAGTAGACGCCATTCCTCATACTGTCCTTTGGGGCCAGGTTGGGCATGCTTCCTGAATTTGAAGTCGAGGCATTGTGCTTCTTTGACCTTCTCCGCCCCCTGGCACGCGTATCCAGCGTCTGGGTGGTGTAGTAGGGGCCGGTGGCAGGTGTCACACAGTAGTACTCAGTGCTTGACTGGCTGGTGTAGGAAGACCCATCATCGAGGATCTCTGTGCTGCTGCTTCTTTGGGATTTGGAAAGGGAGAAGAATGGCTTATCGTTGTCCATCTCGGAGAGCAGGTGGGACTGGGACTCCAGACTTCCACTCCGCTGGCGGCAGTGCTGAGCTGAAGATTCAGGTCTGAAAGAGAAGGGCAAATGGGTACGATAAGAGAAGGAAAGAAAGCCGGGCACCAGTAGCTCATGCCTGTCATCCTAGCTACTCAGGAGACTGAGGTCTGAGGATCACGGTTCATAGCCAGCCTGGGTAGGGAAGTCCAGTGAGACTCTTATTTCTAATGAGCCACCAGAAAACTGGAAATGGTGCTGGGGCTCAAAGTGGTAGCGCACTAGTCTTAAGCAAAAGAGCTCAGGGACAGAGCCCAGGCCCTGAGTTCAAGCCCTAGGACTGGAGAACAGAAAGAGAGAAAGAAAGAAAAGAAAAATGAGAGAAGGAAGAAAAGAGAACATTACACTGATTGATTTCAGAGCTCCCAAATTACAACGGGTGCTTTGGGGTTCCAAGATTGACTACAGGATAGAATCTATTTGTTCAGATAACCCACCAGTCTGAAGCTCATTAGCATGGGTAAATGAGAAAGGGATCAGGTTCTGCCAAATCATTCCTTGAGGGTATGGCAGATAGAAGCAAAGACACACAGCCCGACTACAGCCAGAGGACACTCCACGTATCTTTGGGGAGGAGGGGATCTTTGCTCTCATAAGTTAGGAGATATAGTAGGCCAGGACAAGGTGGCATTGTCTGATAGAGCAGACCCTGGCCTTGAAGGCAGAGGCTTCCTTACATTGAGTTATGACACGGCCATTTCCAAGCTGTCTATGCTTGGGTGAGATACTTAACCTCTGTGACTCTTGCTTCTGTCTTCGTAATAGTAGACGAAAACTGTACCTGATACCCTCATTTCAATTAGGCTTATTGGTGGCACTAAATAATCTAGTGTGCATAAAACATTTAACACAGCTCCCTACTCCAGAATGCTACCACAATTAGCTTCACCCTCACCATCGAATAATGAATGGGTCATATCTGGTTGGGGCGCTGATAGGAAAAATTGGCTATCCACCTGAATCAATCAAGTTCCTTTCCTTTGGACAGACTGGAAACGAAGTAGAAGTTATAGAAGCATACAACTAAGACTCTACGGTAGGAAGTCACTCAAAATGATGGGAAAGCACAGCAAAGCAAGACAAACACTCAAAAGCCAAACGAACATGGCCAACACCATGGGAACAAGGTTCTTACTCCAAGTGGCTGCTGCTGTAGGCGTTTCGAGTAAGGACTGGCGTAGTGGGCATGCTCCGCCCGCCCTGCGGCCGCCTCTCCAAGGTTTTGTAAGGGCTGCTGTGTGTCGATAGCAGCTCTCTGTGATGAGTTAAAAGAGAGGGAGAGAGAAATCAAGTAAGGATGAGTTTCTCAACACCTCCGGCAGAGTTATCATGGGCACCTACTGGAAAGAGGTGCTTGATGGCTAACGCCTGTCATCGTAGCTACTCATGAAGCTGAGATCTGAGGACTGAGGTTCAAAGCCAGCCCTGGTAGATAAATCTGTGAGACTCTTATCTCCAATTCACTCATAAAAAGCTGGAAGTGAAGCTGTGGCCCAAGTGATCAGTCTTGATTTTAAAAAAAAAAAAAGCCAAGCAAAAATGGGAGGCCCTGAGTTCAAGACCCTGAATTGGGTCTTGAACAAACAAACAAACAAACCACCTACTGGAAGCTGATGGAAAGGAAGTACAGGAGAAGGGTGGGAAGAGCTTCTCTGTTGGTTAATATTCTGGTAGATCCCAGATGAGTTTTAGGGGAAAACCATGTGGTCTGATTCTCTGGGTCATAAATAAGAATTGAAACCTCTTTTTTTTTTTTTTTTTGGTAAGTCATGGGGCTTAAACTCTGGGCCTGAGCGTTATCCCTGAGCTCTGCAGCTCAAGGCAAGCACTCTACATCTTGAACTGTAGCACCACTTCCAGTTTTCTGGTGGTTAATTGGAGATAAGATTCTCACAGACGTTCCTGCTCTGGCTGGCTTTGAACCAAGGTCCTCAGATCTCAGCCTCCTGAGTAGCTAGGATTACAGGTGTGAGCCACCAGCACCTGGCTGAAACTCTTTTAAAATAGAGTACACAGAGAAAAATCGACCAAAAATAACTTGAGTTCGGCAAGTCCTTTCTCTGTGAGTGGTCTAAGAGTTGGTATTTTTGGCTTGGTGGCCTAGGAAGTCTCTGTAGAGATTTTGTACTCTGTCCTTACAATGCAACAGCAGCCACAGAGAAGAGGTAAGTGAATGGGTGTGGCTGTATTCCAATACAACTTTGTGGGCAGGGAAATGACAACTTTATGTAATTTTCATACCACCAAATATTATTGTCCTTCATACAACTACTTAAAACATTCCACACACAAAAACAAAAGAGAAGGAAAATGGACAGTAGGATAATCTGGACCATGGCTATGATCAGCTGACCCCTGGATTAGATGGCAACATCCTTAAACTGCTTTGGCCACTTCCTAGCACAGAGAGAACTCAATTCGAGATTTGTATTTTATCAAATTAAAAATGACTTTAAGCTCATGTCTTTAATCCTAGCCTGAGCAGAAAAAAAAATCTACTAGACTCTATGTCTCAAGTAACTAGCAAAAGCTGAACTGAAGGCATGGTTCAAGTGGTAGAGTACCTTACAGCAGGGAAGCAATATGCAAGCAAGCATGAGGCCCTGAGTTTAAACCCCAGTGATTAAAGGGACTGGGGTATCATCCAGTCATAGAGAACAAGCTCCCCATGCACCTAGCTTCAAATGTCAGTATGCAGCCCTGTAGTTTAGAATGACAGGCATGTGCTACCATGCCTAGCATTGCTCAGGGTAGAGTCTCCACAACTTCCCTTGCCCCCAGGCTGGCCTCAAACCACACTCCTCAGATCTCTGCCTCCCAAGCAGCTAGGATTACAGAATTGAACGATGTTTGTTTTTGATATTTAAATGTCATTTTATTTCATGACTTCATGGGTACTGTTGGTCTGAATGTTTTCGTTAGGCAATATAAACATGTGGTTACCTCATCTTGGAGTCTAATGTCTGTTTTTTTTTTTTGGTCGGTCGTGGGGCCTGAACTCTGGGCCTGGGCGCTGTCCCTCAGCTCTTCAGCTCAAGGCTAGCGCTCTACCACTTGAGCCACAGCACCACTTCTGGGTTTTTTCTTTTTGCTTATGTGGTGCTGAGGAATTGAACCCAGGGCCTCAGGCATGCAAGGCAAGTGCTCTACCACTGAGCCACCTTCCCAGCCCCCAACATTTTTCTAAAAAGACCTTTTAAGAAGCACTTTTCCTTGCTGTCAACAACAATGAATGAGTTTCGAAGCCTCAGTTTTATAGGAAAACAACCTTTTCTGAAAAGGTTAAAAGCAACAACAACAAAAGCAAAACACATAACACCAGTGTGGAGGAAAGATTTCTTGGCTACAAGGCATTAATTAACCTACTGTGATAACCTCTCACCTGGAATGCCTGGGCTCCACAAACTGATCATGGATAGACGACTTTCTGAAATGGATTCTCTCAATACCAAGAGACTTGGGCGGAAGAATTCTTGGAGAATGAGGTACTGAACTTGGTCGCTGCCCAGCAAGAGTGAAGGTGTCATTGGCTAAGTGAAGTAAATGGATGAATGAATGAATTAAGTAGGCAAATAATACCAGACCAACACTTCTAAACTAGAAATTGAATTCCTATGTGATGGACAAAAGAAATCACTAAGTATACTTCTAGGGTCTCAATGAACTTTGGCCACTTCAACAGATGGTACTCTGAGCAAGGAAATCACTCAGGTGGAAAAGGAATGCTTCACCTTTAATCAGGTGTACTTAAAAAACCATCTCCTTTGGGCAAAAGGCCCAGGAAATGGGCCAGATTCTTTTAATTCAGCTTGAACATTCTTAGTGCCTGGGTGCTATCCCTTATCATTTTCACTCAGGGGTGGTGCTCTATCATTTGACTCACATCTCCACTTCTGGCTTTTTCATGATTAATTGGAGGTAAGAGCCTGACAATCGTCCTACCCTGTCTGGCTTTGAACTATAACCCTCAGATCTCATCCTCCTGAAGCTAGGATTACCACCAATGCCCAGCTACCTTTAACATTCTTTAAGGCTCTGTGGCCAACGGGTTGTCTTTGTCAGTGAACATGATGAGCAATGCATCAGTGGAGACTTGCTGTGTCTACCACTGATAGTTTCATTTTCAAAGAGGAATGGTATGTATGGCCACACTTCAGCTCAAAGGAAGAATCCTCAAGTGGTGGAATGTTATGCACCATAAAACTTAGGGGAAGATTAAGCAGCTGGGGATGAGTTGGGGGTAATGACTTCCCAGAATCCTTCAAATCACATCAGACAGATAGTCAATCACCTGATTAAGTGTATAGGAGCAATTCTCTGGGAAACAGTAATAGTCAAAGACGACACTAGAATTTTCTAGTTTGGTCACTGGACTCCTGAAATATGAAATGTCACACTGGAAAAACTAGGTGAGGCTGGTAGCTCACCTAGGTGAGCTAGGTAAGGACTCTGAATGATACAGACCATTCTTTATTCAAATTAAAAAGTTATCTCACCAGGCACAGTGACTCATACCTATAATCCTAGCTGTGCCAGGAAGCTGGCACCTGAGATCAAGTTCAAAGCCAGCTGGGCAGGAAAGTTTGTGCGACTCTTACCTCCAATTAACTACCAAAAAACTGGAAGTAGAGATATGGACCAAGTGATAGAGAGCCAGCCTTGAGTGCAAAAGCTAAGGGACAGTACCTAGGCCCTGAGTTTAAGCCCCAATACTAGCATGTACATGGACACACGCACTGAGGTATCATATTATTTCAGAATATGTAAAGTTTTCAAAGAAAAATGGAGCCACTTACGATCATCATAGATGGCAGAATCAGACAAGGAGCTGCTCTCTGACGGGATGACATCTTCTGAGGATAAAAATAACGGCTTTTAGCACAACTGCACATTTACATAACCGGAGTGAACTCCATGATGCGTTTTTCAATAGCATGCATTATATTTTCATTTAGATACATATGGCTAATAAAAGCACATTAATAATTAACTGTTCTAAGAACTGACTCATTTACTACTGAAGACACAAGAATCTTGTGTTTCAGAGCATGTGTCTAGCAGTCGTCAGGTGCTGAGTTTATTCCATAGTACCACAAACATGCACTCTCTTCAAAATGATCTGGGCATTACATTCATCTCTCAATATTTGTGGGAGTCTGGCTCCAGGGCTGCCCAAGGACACCCAAATCTAAGAATGTTCAAGTCCCTTGCTTACAATAACTCATGTTCTTCAATGCTTTAAAACACCTCTAGATTACTTTAATACCCTCCAATGCGAAGACTATGTAAATACTCATGATATTGCATTGTTTAGGAAATAATGACAAGAAAAAAAAAAGGCCTGTATATGCAGAACTTTTTTTTCTGAATATGTTTGATCTGAGGTTGGTTGAATCTGAAATACGGTACTTGAAATACAAAGTATTGATGGTATTTCTTAAAACAGACCAGGTATCCAGAAAATTTTAAACTACTTTTTAAAAATATTTCCTTCATATTGAAAGAAAACTTTACCTCCTACTCTTATTGCTTATGACTAACAAATTGGAAAAAAAATCATGCCATTCTGTCATAAATGATAAATGTTATATGAATTATATCTCAACTGTCTTTAGAGAATCTATTGTTAGTACTACTTCTTCCTTGACTCTTCCCTATAGAAAAGGGCTTTTCCTTCCCTTCCCTTTTTTTTCTCCTCTGCTCCCTTCCCAATCCTTCCCCTCCTTTCCCTTCTCCTCCTTTTCTGTTTTCTACCAGTCCTGGGGTTTGAATGCAGAGCCTAGATCTTACTTAGTATGTTTGCTAGGCTTGTATTCCACCACTTGAAGCATGCCTCCAGTCCAACTTTTTGTTGATTTTTTGGAGTTAGAAGTCTAGTAGACTTTTCTGCTCAGGCTGACTTTGAACTATGATCTTCCAGATCTCAACCTCCTGAGTAGCCAGGATTATAGCTGTGAGCTCTGTGCTTTTTCTTACTAAAGTGTAGATACTTGGTGGCTTTGTGAGCCTTCTAATTAGAACCGTGTTCCTCAACAGTGGTACTGTCAATCTTTTGGATTGGGTAATTCTTTGTTGTGGGAAGTTGTTTTTGCATTTCAGGATCTCCACCTCCACTCACTCCACCCCCACCCCCACCATCAATATTTTTCTTTTCTTCTTCTTTTTTTCTTTTCAGTATTGGGGATTGAACCTGGGGCTGTACGGATGCCTTGGAAGCACTTTACCATTTGAGTTATATCCCAGCCCACCAATGGCAATTCTGACAACCCCAAATGCCTATAAATATTCCTGGTGGTTCTCCCTAATTGAGAACTACTGAACAGAGAGAACTGGTTTCAAATTCTGGCACTGCCATTTATCAACTGTGAAACCATGGAAACATGCCTTCACATTTCTTAGCATCATCTGACATACTTTAAGATGGCGATATCAGTGGTACAAAATACTGAGTTAAACCATTTAATGAAACCACCATGTAAAGATTTTAGCCTAGGGACTGAGAAGGTGGCTCAGTGGTAGAGCGCTTGCCTTGCATGCATGAGGCCCTGGGTTCCATTCCTCAGCACCACATAAGCAGAAAAAAAAAAGCCGGAAGTGGTGCTATGGCTCAAGTGGTAGAGCGCTAGCCTTGAGCTGAAGAGCTGAGGGACAGCACCCAGGCCCAGAGTTCAGACCCCATGACCGGACCCAAAAAAAAAAAAATAAAAGATTTTAGCCTAGTTCCTAGCACATGCTAAATGTTCAATAAATGTCAGTTACACATGTTACGTTTACTATCCATCCTTGTGCGCAACCATCATGCTCTGAGTATTGCTGGTGCCCATTGACTGTTCCATAATGTATTTGGTAAGAAGAGACATCTCAGATATGTGGATATGCTTTTGCACATTGTTCCATGCTCAGTGTTGGGGGTTTTGGCAAAAAGGTTCTAGACAGAGACGGCACCTCAATGTAAGCTTTGAAGCCATGAAGAGAGAACTCACGCCATCCAGCCTCAAATGCTAGTCTTTATCACAGCAGGCTCACTCTCTCTTAATTAGACATACAATGTAGCCTGACGGCAACGTGCCAGTCCAGTCAGCTGTCAAACACACTTTAAAAACAATCAACCCAATGTATGCTTGGCCATTGGCACCATCTGCTGCTCACATGTCAGTGGCCACAGAGGAGAACAGTTGAAGCTCGCAGTTTGAGGATGAATGGGCTACGACAAATGTCTAGGAAAGCAACGTACACTGATAATCACCCATCTCTGCAGGTCCACACTGTAACCCACACCAAGCCAACTGGCTCCACATTTATAGGCTGAGATGCTGAAATTCTCCAGCTGTAGTTGGCTCACGCTGGTGCACTAATGTCTGTGTATTTGCTTTCCCAAAGCCTGTCTCTGCTGTATAAATCTGATGCCTAGTCTAAAACCTAGTTACCATGTTTCATCAGTTCTAACATGCACATGAAATTTGAGGTCCCAGTGTGGCTCAAGTGGTAGAGCCTCAGCCTTGAATAGAAAAGTCAAGCAAGCGTGAGAGGCAGTGAGTTCAAGCCACCCACAAACCAAACTAAACCAATCTACACACCATCAAGAGTCCTGACTATGAGAGTCAAGCTTACAAAAGATTCTTCTACTCACCTGGTAAAATCACTGATGCTTTTTGGTTGGGTTTCTTTCCACAGCGAATTCGGTATTCATTTATTGCATTTTCAATCTCTTGAAGCTTCTTGACTGCATCTGTGTAATCTTGCTTCCGTTTCTTCTTCACAGTTTTACAGAGGTCTGGCTCATTGGCAAGTTTCTTTGCAGCTTCTACCAACTTTTGCTGTATTAGAAAATTGCTCTCCAGTTCTTGTAAAGCCGGGTCCTGCATTTATGCAATAATATTGTGTTATTTTTTTATGGGTACATCAAGTCTCTCTCTCATGCTAATAAACATATTTTATGCATTCTTGAGTAAGATGCACTTTGAGATTAAAATTTTCCAAGGTTTTGTTTTGTTTTTTTGTAGTCGTGGGGCCCGAACTCTGGGCCTGGGCACTGTCCCTCAGCTCTTCAGCTCAAGGTGAGTGCTCTACCACTTGAGCCACAGTGCCACTTCTGGCTTTTTCTGCTTTATGTGGTGCTGAGGAATCGAACCCAGAGCTTCATGCATGCAAGGCAAGCATTCTATCACTGAGCCACCTTCCCAGCCCAAAATTTTCCAAGTTTTAATACAGAGACATCCTCCAATACTTTTCCAAGAAGACAATACAGGCTTCAGCCATCTTAACTTCATCTTGACAAGTATAACCTTTTTTCTCTTCAAGTAACTAAATGACCTTTCATTCATTAGTTGAGTGAAGATCATTTTCAAAAAGATATTCTAACCCAGGACTCATGGATACAGAATATTATATTCATATGCAGAGCTTTATCTGTTTCTGTATTTCACTAGAGATAGATAATTTGGGTTTGATTCTTCTTTCTAGTTGTTCCTGGTTGCATGGTTCTGTATTCCACTAATTAAGATCACTCTGTTAGGATTAGCTGTTGTTTTCTAAAGCTAAGATGATTTTGTTTCTACAAGAAATATTGGTTGATGGCATATATATGAGAAAGTACATTCTATCTTGCCTAACTTATCTTTACATTGAATTACATTGGATGCTATACATGTACTAACTGATTTAATACTCATTGCCTCCCTCAGAGGGAAATTCCATCAATATTCCCATTTTACAGAGGGAAAAATAGATGCCTACAAAATGAAACTTTAAAGGGTTTAAACTATTTGCCAAAGGCTAGGTTTTTGGCTGTTATAATCACTTATAATAATATTATATGATAAAGTTATATTATATTATAGTAAGCTGGGCACTGGTGGCTTATATCCATTATCCTAGCTACTCAGGAGGCTGAGATGTGAGGATCACAGTTTAAAGCCAGCATGGTCTATGAAACTCTTATCTTGAATTAATCAGCACAAAGCTGGAAGTAGAACCCTGGCTCTAGAGGGTAAACCTTGAGCGCAAATCCTCAGGACCCTCAATAATAGTATTTCCAGGCCAAGCAAGGCCCTGCTATGTAGCTCAAGCTGTCCTCCAACTTTGAATCCTCCTGCTTCAGCCTCCCAAGTTCTGCAGGAATCGAATGGGGAAGTTCTTAATTCTAATAGTACGAGCTCTCCGTTTATAAATATTTAGAGTTTATTTACTGCTGCCTCTGATTCATGAAGTAAAGGCCATGCTAATCGGTAAGTGACTTAAAAACCAGAGACACTGTGTGAGTGCACTCCTGGCTTCGCAGTCTGCTTCGGAGAAAGGCTCAGGATGGGCACTCCTACCTCTTCAGTTGGCAGCAAATTGTCATCTAACTTGAACGCGGTGCCTACTCGCCTCCTGACCTGAGGGGGCTTCTCGCCTATGTTCAGCGGGTACTCCTTTGGCATTTTACCCGTGAGTTCCTGAAAAACAGGGTGGGGCCAAGGGTGGGTAAGTGACACAGACCACAGCTGGCAACATCTGGGGAACAGCCCAGAGCCCAGGACACTCACGGCCTCGCGCAAGCAGATCTTCTTCAGCTCTTCCACTTTCTTCAGGAGTTTTTCTTGCAACAGCTTCTCCTTCTTTTTGAGTTCCAGGATTTTCTCCCGCTTTTGCTCCTCACTGGCTTCTGAGTCTTGAGAACCTAGATTCAGGGGGAAGGCAAGGGAGGGTGGGGGAGGGGAGTATCAACCAGCTGGCTTCCTTCTTTGAGAAGGACAAAGACCTGCCCAGCCAACCTGCTATGAAAAGCTAGTTTATTTCTTTTCTCCTTGTTTCTGAACATAATAAGAGGAAACCAGAGAACATTTTCTCAGGCTCTGGGCATCGGACCGAACCTGGTAAAAAAAATGTGCTTTTTGACTTGGTCATTTTGGAAGCGATGACAGAATGCTTCATGTTTCAGACACACCCAAGGAATAATTTCTTTTCTTTTTAAGAAGGAGAAAAGTGTGATGTACCTTGAGATAGTTGTCAACTATTCCTTTGAAAGGTAAGCAAAGGAATGTTCTGGGCAGCTTCAGAAACCACACACTAACAATGGGATGGTGAGGGACGAATCATTTGGTAAGTTGACAAAGTGAGGAGAAAATCCACTAAGCACAACCCCAGTACTGCTAAGACAGAGACCCCACAGTCTCTACCGAGGGCAGGGCACAGTTATTATGGCTTTATGGGATGTGCAGTCGTAATCACATTTGTGATTATATATTTTATATTATGGAATACTGGATGATTATCTTATCAAAAACTACATATAATGAAAACAAAATAAAACTGAACATTGGGAGAAGCTGATGGAACTGATGGGGATAAAAATGTTCTTTGAGGGTGTTCTTAGTATTCAGTATATTTGCATTTTATGTTACTTATACAGTGTCACCATTTGTGATATAACTTCATACTTTTTGTTTCATTATTATCTTTAAGTAGGTGTACAAAGGAGTTTCATTTAACAAAGCACTGGAAGAGGTGACACTGTTTAAAATGAAATGTACTCAACATCTGACTTATGTAACTGTAACCCCTCTGTACATAACTGTTACAATAATTTTTTAAAAAGAAGTTTATGAATACAATGTATCTTGTATTCAAAGTTGTTGCTTCCTGTAGCTTCCCCCAAACTCCTTTGTTTTCCAAGCAATGGTTATATATGTATATGGGTGTGGGGAAACAAATGAAAAGCCAGAAAACCACAAAATACCAAAACCTGTGGCTAGATGGCTAACACTTATAATCCTAGCTACTTAAGAGGCACAATCTAAGGACTGTGGTTCAAAGCCAGCTCAGATAGTCAAATGTGAAGATTTTTATCTCCAATTAATCACCAAAAAGCCAACAGTAGGGTTGTGGTTCAAGTGGTAGAGCACCAGCCTTGAGTCTACAAAGCTAAGGGACAGCTCCCAGGCCCTGGGTTCAAGCCCTAGTGCCAGCACAAAAAAATAAACCAAACCAAACACCAATAGATAAATAAATAAACCCACAACACCAAAGATGTCATATCCTTTTCAGTTTCGAGGATTTACCTGACGATATTAAGCTGCCATTGCTTGCCATGATGAACTGGCTTTTTGCTTCCAGTGTCATCAGTTTGGAGACCCTCTGTGTTCCAGTCTCTGTCAAATCCATTGCAATATCGTCTAAACTTCTGGCAGAAGGAATTTTTGCCTACGGAGCATATAGAATTAGCAAAACGAATCACATTTTACTATAATCCAAACATTAAGTTACTGTACTGTGAAAATATCCACACAGAGGGCAATTCAAAATAATTATTAAGCTGATACCAGAAAACAAAACCTTAAACTCTGCATTTAAAATGTTTTGGTCACTATAACTGCTTTTCTCTCACGGCTTGGTTCAGTTGCAGAGTTTAATGTCACCAGCAACACCACCAATGTCCATACATATGCATGCCAGTGTCTGTCTTTTAAATAGATGAAGGAAACTTAAACAATTGCTAGTATAGATAAAAACAACAACAACAAAAAAAACTTCAAAGGACAAAAATGCATGGGCTTGCATATTTGCTGAGAAAGTTCATCTCCTAAATAGCTACAAGACTGTGATCTGTTCCCCTATGCAAATGCTTCTAGTTACTTACTTTGCTCTGCTTCCGGTCCAGGTAGAACTGATGCTGACTAATAGCCATCACCCAGATGGACTTGATCAGAGAAGAGTTTGCATACCACGTTTGCACATACAGGCCACTTTGCCCAAAGGTCCTCCGAGACACTGAAATCCTGGAAGATGAAGGAAAGCAGTTGAATCGATTGCTGTGGGCCAGCAAGGGCAGTGTTATTAGGGTACCTCCCCCTTCACTGTCTCTGCTGGTCACTAGGGGGCTGACCAGGTCCTGATTTTCCCCTTTTTATGACAAAACTACTGAGGATCTAGGCAATCTAAGCATATTTTCAAAACCACATATGCACACACTGAAAAGTAGAACAGGCATCAGTCAAATGAGAGGCTCCAGAAAATCCTTTAGTTAGAAATGCTGGACCACCACAAGTGAAGGATAGGTGATGATTTAAAGATGACCACCATGACTGAGGGCTCCAGGGCCTGCCTCCGTTGCAGAAAGAGCTTGTCTGATCTAGGTGATCAAATCTACCCAGCAGATGAATATAACATTAGGAGATGAATACAACGATATCAGCTGGAAATGTCTTAGGCTAGAGTATTGTTTGTGCATCCATACAATAAGGAAAGTTAAGAGGAAGAGAGAGATAAAGAGAGAAGGAGAGAGGAGAGAGAGGAAGAGAGGGAGGAGGTTGGGTACAGAGGAAGGCTGTGTATGTGTGTGTGTGTGAGGGGGAGGGGGGTACTAATGTTCTTCATAGGAATTTGGCTTATCTCCCTGGGTCACCGTTTTTCTTTTCTGCAGCTGTTTCCTCCCATCTCTCTAACCTCCAAAACATCCATAAACTTTATCTTAAGAGCTTGGGGAACCTACATCCTGATTTTCATTCACGCTGATAATTTGACAACTGTTTTTATTTTTTTAAGGACTAAATTAAGAATGATCACAGGATTTGAATAGATATTTCTCTTAAGTTCTACACAGGGGCTGATAAACTCATGAAGAGAGGCTCTGTTCCTCATTAATCCTAAGGGAAATGCAGACAAGTTAAACCAGGAGATAACCATTTCACACTACAATGATGTCTTTAACACACATGTTCAAGCACATACGTGTGCACACACAGCAAGTGGTAGTGAGGATGTGGAGAAATTAGAATCCCCTATATTGCTGGTATGGATGCAAAGTGGCCCAGTGCTTTGGAGAAAGTCTATCTCCCCTGGAGGTATTGAAAAATTACCCGATTACCCCACAATTCTAAGGTATAGCCTTAAGAAAAAGAAAAGCATGCATTCATACAAAAACCACAGCAGTGTTATCCACAGGGAGCCTGGGACCAGACAAAAATTTCAGATTTTTACCTTCGTGGATCATGAACTTCAACAGCAAATTTTTTCTCACGGAAATATAAATTTTCCAGTTGCTTCCATTGAAATAACTAAAATAAGAAGAAAAGAAAAGTCACACAGCCAGTAATTACTCTTAGTTTTACAGAGTCCTGAAATCAGCTTAATAAGCAAAGTGATTTTAAGTTCTCAGGAATGTATGGCGATAAAGTTAAGCCCAAATAAATGATTCATCAACTTTTTTTTAAACCCAAATCAACCACAACCTGAAACCATTTTATTCCTTCCTCTGACAGTAAATTGTACCTACTCAGCTTCACCTGATAAATCTCCCTAGCACAATAAAACCAAGCATGGGAACACACATACTATTTTTCCTCTGACTCAAGGAAACAATAGGAAACGTGCCTAAGATTCCAGTAAGCAAGTAACCTTCTTCTTAGAGATGCTGACTTCCTATGTGAATGGAAAGATACCGGATGGAGTGTCTTGAAGATCAGAATGACTTTAAGATCGCAGATTAAATTTCAGAAGAATTTGCGAAGTGAAAGTAAAAGAGAAATCCGCCCTCTTCCCCTCTCTCTCCCCCTCCTTCCCCTTCCCTCCCCTGTCCCCCACTTCCCAGGCAGACTGGTAGTGGCGCTCAGACTGGTCATTTCTCACCTAGCAGAATTTCCCTAAATCTCACAGAAGCTGAGCCCCAGGAACTGGTGGGGTGGGGTGGTGGTGAGAGGATTCCCAGTTTGTGAAGAGATCGCCCCCTTCCCCCTGGCTGGGTTCAGTGTGATGTGCCAGCTTGCCCCAAAGCAAACTTTTGGTCAGAAATGGGCCCTCGAAAATAAACTATTTGGCTTAAAAAAAAAAAGCATTCACAGAGCTGAGGGTGCCCCGCTCCCTTCCAGGCTCAGCCCCCTCCTTTCCCCCACCAAGGCACGCCATCTGACCCAAGCCTGCTGGAGGTCTCCCGTGCGCTCCAGGGCGCGCGCCCCCTTCCCACGGCGAGGAGGCACGGGCGGGCAGGGGGAGCGCGGACACCGGGCTCGGGGTGCACGTTCTGGTGATGGCCGAGGAATCTTAACGTGAACGTTTTAAATGGACCGCCCCCCCCCAATAACCAGCGGTCAGGTCCCGGCGACGCACTCTCCGCAGAAGATCGGAGAGGAGACTTTGCACCACCCTGCGACCCTCGCAGAGATCAGCAGAACCGGAGCTCCACGGTCTCCATCCAAGACCCCTGGCAGGAAAACCAGCCACAACCCAGGGCACACGGGCGCTGTCTGATCGCAACACGGGGCTGTCCGTGACCCCCAACCCTTCCCCAGGCGTTCACAGAGGAGTGAGTGCAAGCTTACGTCTACGTACCCGTGTCCTACTGTGTCCGGGGGCTCGAGGTGGTCATTTCCTTCCATTCATAAGTTCCCAAAGTGGGGGGACAGAAAGGAGAGGGCAAACCCCAGCGCTGTCTACACCCCCCACCACACACACACACCCTGCTTCCGACGGCAGCTCCGGTGCCTTTGGAACTGAGTTTCCTAAGACTAGGTGTAACTTCGTTTCACAAACCATGCCTCCCACGACAGGTCCGCCCCTGACATCAGCAAGTCCGCCGGCCACACCCCCAGCTCCTCCCGCCTCCCATCCGGGAGGACGGCAGAGGGCTGGCTCCTTTTTCCCCCAGAAGAGAGACTTCTGGGGCTGGGCCTGGGGTGATACCTTCTGGGAAATCCGCCAGTTGCAGCCCACCAGTCTCACGGCGGGCTGTTTTAGGAAAATCTTCTTTTTTTTTTTTTCTTTCATGCCCAGGTCTGCTTACCCGGCACATGAACAGGTTCTGCAGGAAGAGCAAGAAGGCAGCTCAGCTGTGTTTTCCTTCTCGGGCCATTCCCACACACGCACAGAAAAGCCAGGGTTCTGCTGGAAACTTGATCCCTGAAAGCCACCCCTCCCCCTCCCGTCACTTGATCAAATACCGGTGCGAAAGCACTGTCTCCACTCGGGTGCAGCCCACATGGAGGACAGCCACGCTCCCTGTGATCCAAAGCAGCCCTGCTGAGGAGGATGAAGGGCTTACACTCCTTTGGAGAACTTTAAAATAATCAGGTATTTAGCTAATCAGGCCAGACTGATTTGGGAGGGGAGCTTGCACTAGAGAAGTAGTTTATCACCCCATACAGTAAGGTATACCCTAAGTCAGCTGAAAAGATGAAGGAGGCTGCAAGGAAAACATCTGCATTTGAGGGACGAGATCTATGTTCAAAGGACTTGAGAGAAGCAAAGTATGCTTTATAGTTTCTACATTTTCTATTGGTTGGAGAACAGTTATGTAGGATATGGCATCTTATAGGTCACCGATAGTATATATTTATGTGCATACCCACAAACACCCTCGTGATTTTCCTAGTTATACAGAAAAATAAGCCTGGTGCCCATGGTATGCATTTGTAATCCTAGCTACTCAAGGAAGCTGAGTGTCATGGTTCAAAACCAGACCAGGCAGAAGTCTGTGAGGTTCTTATCTCCAACTAAATTCCAAAAAGCCAGAAGTGGAGGTATGGTTCAAGTTGGTAAAATCACCAGTGCAAAGAGGAAAAACTAAAGGATAGCACCCAGCCCCTGAGTTCAAGCCCTCGTACTGGCCTGTTTTTCCCCCAACCCCTAATTCCTATTCTTGAGGATTAAAAAAAAAAGTGCATATTTTGGAAAGGGATGGCATTGATCAAATTACACTGTAATCAGAGATTGACATGTTGAATTGAAACCCCTTTGTACAATACTAAAAGATAATTTAAAAAACTAGAAAATAAAAAGTGTATTTGTATTACAATACTGAGTCAAGTATGAAACCAAAATATTTGCCAAAATGGTCATTACTTAGCATAGTAGCACTCACTCATTATTTATTTTTATGTGGACTCACTAAAAGCTTTGAGTTTCAGAATCTGTTGGTTTTAGAATATGCTGCTAGTGACAGAGGGGAATAGTTTTAAGATGAAAATAAGACAATTAGCTGTTCCAGATTTATTTCTTCGCTACATTCATCTGAAACCTTCAGTTGAGATAGATGGACACAGAGTAATAGAATGCAGCCATCTTGGATTACTTTGACATTGCAAAAGTAAATAAGCAGATAAAATAGAAAAAGGAAGAGAAACAACACAAATACTATTTACAGAAATAATCAAGAAATTACACTAGGAAAAAATAGTTGTAAGGTGATTAATCTTGTCTTAAAATAATGACATGCTAAGAAATTTAAAACCAGCATAGAAGATTATCAAACCCTATTTTTAAAATTAGTCTACATTAGTTGCACATGGGAGATGTCATTGTGCCATTTCCATATATGTAAATATATATGTATACATATGTATATGGATATATGTATATGCCCCAGTCACCCACACCTCCTCTATCACTTTCCCCTATCCTCCTCATCTTTCTTAAAACAATTTCAACTATTTAAACCATATTCATCCTCATTCACTCTCTTCTTTAGCTTTCCTTCTTCTGGTTGGTACTTACTTCCTAAGACAGCCTTTCAAACCTTGTTTTGAAAGTGAACGTGTATGAAATATTACACAGGAATAAACAATTTCCCTTTATCCTTAGGAGTGAGAGGAGCTGATGGCTTTAAAATGGTTTACCAAACACAATATTAGGTGGAATGGATGTGCTAAATATTTAAGCCCTATTGTGGAAACCTACAGTTAATATTCACTTGCACAAACTGAAGAACTATTAGGAATTGCCTCTTCCTTATTCTCCACTTTATTATCATGGTGCCTCAATATTCAACCTACTGTCAAACCTAAAAGAAACAACCCTGTGAGGAAGAGCAAAGGGGCTTTTAGAAAACAGGCTTAAATGCATACCATTAGCTTCTGAAATCATTGCTTTTCTTTTTTTTCTTTTTGGTCAGGCATGGGGTTTGAACTCAGAGTGTGGGTGCTATCCCTGAGTTTTTTTTGCTCAAAGCTAGTGCTCTAGCACTTTGAGTCATAGCTCTACTTCTGGATTTTGGGTTAATTGGAGATTAGAGCCTCATGGACTTTCCTGCCTGGGCTAGCTTTGAACAGTGATCCTTAGATCTCAGCTTTCTACGTAGCTACGATTACTGGCATGAGCCACCAGCACTTGGCTTGAAATCATTCCTTTTCCAACAACAAACATTTCTTGAGCACCCTCAGTGGGCAAGGTCCTCTTCCTGTTGTCAAATCATGAATAGGTCCTTCTTCCTTCCTCCAGCCCTCCCTTGTAAGGCCCATATGAATTGAGTCAAGGAGACCAGATTGCCTAGGATTGGATCAGGTTGTGCTATTTGGGCAGTTGCTTAACTCCCTTGAGCTTCACTTTCATCTTCTACAAAATGGACCAACAATAGCTGTATCCCAGGACAGAAATATTCAGTGAGACAAAAAATAAAATGCCTAGGAATTAACTTAACCAAAGAAGTAAAGGATCTCTATGATGAAAACTTTAAAAACCTGAAAACGGAAATCACAACAGAACTTAGAAAGTGGAAAAACCTCCCATGCTCCTGGATTGGAAGGATCGACATTGTGAAAATGGCAATACTTCCCAAAGCTATCTACAAATTCAATGCGATACCTATCAATATTCCAACCTCATTCTTCAAGGAAATAGAAGAGGCAATCCAAAAATTCATAGGGAACAATAAATGACCCCGAATAGCAAAAACAATCCTTAACAGAAAGAACAGTGCTGGAGGAATACCAATACCAAATTTCAAACTCTATTCCAAAGCCATAGTAATCAAAACAGCTTGGTACTGGCACAAGAACAGACCTCAGGAATAGAACTGAACACCCAGAAATGAACCCACAGACCTATAGCTATCTAATCTTTGATAAGGGAGGTAAAAAAATAGAATGGAAGAAAGACAGCCTCTTCAGTAAGTGGTGCTGGCAAAATTAGTTAATCACTTGTAGAAAACTAAAGTTAGATCCTTATATATCACCCTGCACCAGATTCAACTCCAAGTGGATCAAAGACCTCGGAGTCAAAGCAGACACTCTGAAAACATTACAGGATGGAATAGGAGAAGCCCTAGGTCTCCTTGGCACAGGCCAAA